TACATTATGGATGGTGGCTGTTAAGTATTCCGTGGAGTTGCCTCGAGTTTAGTACAGATTATTTAACCGGATAAAATTAATTAGACAACGTTTTGATTGTAGCATGGGGCAACCCATTACTCCGGCGTTTGGTCCCTCATTTTTCTTCTGTCTTCGACACTCGGTGTGCCAGTGGTATATAACATCGAGAGGTGAAATACACAGAGGTACCATTATTCAAAGGTCTTCTGGCCATAGGGCACGAGGCAGTTTTGTAGCGGAAGACATTGGACAAATGGGATTGTTCCGTGGACAGGCAGGTTATCTCGGTCAGTCGTCGAGTGGCCACCCCAGTAAATCACTCTGGGGCATTCTCTTTCTCTCTCTCTCTTACCCACACACTGAGTTGTTAGATCCAGACAACCCCTGGGCTTTACAGCGACCGTGCGCCACCACCATCGCGATAGCACAACTTGTGAAACCCTTTCATGACCTTTCCGGATGTATTCCAAGGAAAAATCCTGGGGCTCTGCTTTTTTTCTCATCCTCGCTCCTTTGTCCTGAAACGTGAGGAGAGCATGCTCGCTCAGAAAAAATGTCGTCCTGTTAAATATTCATTTGCTTGAGAGAAGTATCTGGTTTATCATTGCCCTACTTATCCACTCTCTTTTTTAAAAGAGATTTTATTATGATTTACGAGGCGAATATAAGTGAAGTCAACGGTTGATTAAAAAATCGATCTTGAAGAAATAAATGATTGATCTGGTGCTTAAGGCAAGTATGTTTAGACGTGCTTATAGCAACCCGGCGTTTATAGGTTGATGATTATCATCGGGAGTGACTGGACGATATGACGATCCGTGACTTTTCAATTTGACTCAGTCGTTTTCACTCTCTAATCCTCATTGCTCCCTTTTTTGTTTGCACGTAGCGCATGAGGGGGAGGATCGATGGAGTCTGGATGATCGATCGCAGCCATTTGTCATTTTGACAAGCCCAGTCCATTGAGCATCTTGCCACCCACTGGCCCGTATCACCATCATATCGGTCATCGACTGGAGTATCTCCAGACCGCTTCGCCCAGAATATATACTCAGACATTCACCAAACATATTGATTGATAGTTCCACAATTTTTCCCTTCTTTCTCTCCACCCACCAACTCAGAACTTCAATATTTCATGCTGATGGGTATAAATAAGTTCTAGTGTTTGTCAAAGTAAAGTGGAAAAAGCAGCTGAAACACTTCTTGAGGAGCTCGACGAGTGGAAATTACAGGGTGCCTGGTACCAAAGTGAATTAAGTCACTGGTGTAGCGATGAGAAAAACAAGTTCTGTGGAAAAAAAAAAAGTGAGACTGTAGTTAGCGCGAGAATTGTCACTGGAAGTGAAGAGTCAAGGTGTGGTGATGTGAAGTGAAAAGACTTGGGATAAAGTAGTGAAGGGGGACGACAAAGCGCCATGTTTCCGTAGCAGAAACGGCTTGTTTACCACTAGAGATGGTGAAAACCACAGTGAGCTTGTCTTCCTCCACCTTCTATTTTCATTTTTGCCCCTTGTAACTTCCTAGCCACCGGCATGTCCCAGTCAGCAGTGAGAGAGAATACCGTGAGGATATTGCTTCTCTTTGTGGCTCCACCATTCGTGTATTTCCTCCATTTATTTATCTTTGTCTGGTGTATGTGGAGATTCTGGTCTTCCACCCGCACCTATTGGTTACCATTATTCTCCTCTGGCAATAGTTGGAAAAGCCAAAGTGAATGGTTTACGCTCAACGCTAGAGACAGTTTGATGGGCTTTGAGCAGTATTTATCGAAACCTGGTAAGATAAACTTTGTGGGCTGGACCGTTGATTACAAAGTGCATTCACGGTGATCCTTTTGCAACGGTCATTCCCTCTGCAAGCTGATGCTCAAAGGGGCTTCGGTCATTGGAATGCTCATGCGATTCCCACAATAGGTGATTGAATCTCCTGTACGAGGACTAGTGAGTTATGGATGAGGAAAGAAGTAATGGGTTGATCAATTGACATGCAGAAAGCCTCATCAATGGTGATACGGACCAGGGGAACAAACGAGGTGTGAATCCGTAATGAAGGAGTGAGGGCTTGCTGGCAAGCGTGTGACTCTCAGGAGATAATTGTCGGATGGTGCCCTCGTTGATTTGATTTATGGAAATTATGTCGTTTAAAGTCTGGGATCGTTGCAATTATTCGAGCTATTTGTTATGCCCATGATGCTCACAATTGGGTGAAGTACACTTTCCTGGGCTGACCTCAGACCACATTTTTCAACTCGGGACAGGAAGAAACCTGACTGAATTCCCCAATGAATAATCTGGAGCGGTGATACCAGATGAAACAATGGAGCCTCAACCAGCATCTCCACAGCCTTCAATCAAACCTGATCGAAGCGTTTATTCGTCTCGGTTGCCAAAGCGGGACAAAGTGAGCGAAACTCACGTTGGACTGCCGCCATTTGTCTTTTCCCAAGACCGTTGAGGGTACCAAATGGGGGTAATACATACCCTACAACTGAAAAATCTCACCCCCATTCTCTCAGCCCTTCAACACGCAGACAACCCCAGAAGATTGGAGAGCGTCTCCATGCATTTTGGTGGACGAATGCTGGATGACATACATTATCATTTTTTTACCATCTCCATCTGTAACATTGGTACATTCACGGATGAATTGATTGAGGCAATAAAATACGGAGGGGAAAGAGGTATTAAAAAAAGGCCCGAAGAAATATTTTTTTCCGATTTCTTGTTCTAGTTGAACGAGTCCACGTGCACACGAGCCAATCGGTATCGACATCGATACGAGAAGAGGGTGAATTCGTGATATATCTTCGGATTGGCTTTCCCCAGTGGTGGATAGTCTACATCAAGCTCCAACGATAGTCACCCAAGTGGTAGTGGGTGGTTGGGGGAGAAAGGGGGTGCCACCTTGATAAACGAGGTCATAAATAACGGTAACGTCTCCACCGAAAACTCGAGCGGATAAATGTATCTTCAAGGCAATGCAACTCTCACGTATATATCCACCGATGGAACGAGGCGAACGGGAAAAAGACTGTGTGAGACATAGACCATTTGAGTGTACTGGAAGGAAGTGGGGTAAAAATGTCCAGAGAAGTAATTTAGGGAGCGATTGAAATATTTATGACTAGACATAAAGTTCAAGCCATTCGCAATTTTCATGCATTATACTTTACCAATTTCAATTTTCCCTCGTTTTCGTAATTCCAGGGTAGACCGACAACTGAACGAATTTTTCCATTTGGGTTCACTGCCCTCAAAACCACCCCCTTACACATGCTGAATGATTTACAGAATTGTACAAGTACATGACCAGAGAATTTTACTTCCCCTATACCCCGTGTCATTGATCTGCTAGTGTTTATAACCGAGACGAAGAAATTGAAGAGGGAAAAAAAGAGTTACGGCGCCAGCTGGGTCTTGCCAGAGGCACCTAGCTATAAAATAAAGGGAAAAAGGGTTGGCCAATGTGATACACTAGGCTCTCGACTTTCTCGAGGAAATAAGAAAAAAAAAATCCCCTGGCGCTTATTCTCAGGATATAACAAGATTCGCATTGGTAACGAAGTGAGATTACACTTGGAGGTTATACCAGTATATCAGATAGGTTTGGTAGGCTGGTTCAGGGCTGTTAATTAGGATAGATCGCCTTGCGCACCTCCAGGCGATTCAGCAAGAGTCCGGGTGTGGAGGAAAAAACAAAAAAATAAGAACCCTCTTTCGCGGAACTTTAACTGTCAATTATCCTGCCGTCGATTTTTTATACCTGCCACGAATTGAGTTATTTCAACTCTTCACTCACTTCTGAATAATGTCGTGGTGATTATTCAGAATATTTATAACAATTTGACACATTGACAGGCAATAATCAAGCCCTGAACACTGGTCGGGCACTGTGAAGGCGTTAAATCAAACAGAGCCACCTCAATATTTTATTTCCTCTCGTTTCTTTACAGTCGACCGCAAACAGCCTTATTTCCTCTATACCCTATTCGTCTCTCATGCAGAAATAGAGGGGTAATCTGGCGAGTCGTAAAACGTGTCGGGATGTCCAACAAACACCTACTCATTAGCCAGCAGGTATATACCAGTGGTGCCCCCTTGCCGATGAAAAGAGAGCGAAGGGGGAATCCCTCGAGGGAGGTAGGATTACACAGGCGCGCATTAACTCGGTCTCGGTAAGTTATGGTCCCAGGAAGAGTATAATTCACCCGTGGCCAAGAAAGTGTGTCTGCCCCCACCCCTCTCTACCACCTCAAAAACCCACCTCCTCTGTCTTTATTTCTTCCAACCAGTCGCCATATTCCTTTTTTTTTCACCCTCTCTCTTCATTTAAAACCGACTCTCCTCTTCTCCATTATAATTCAACCGGCTCTTTTTTCGGTATATCGTTGGGCCGTAGCTACCTCGTTAGTTTATCACCCCGGCTTTACCCACCCCAAAATCCCTGGGTTAAACACTGTATGTGTGCCTAATTGAAACTCACTCGCTCGTATTTATCTTTTTTTTTCGCCATTTTTTGGGTTTAATTCAACGACCTCTCGCTGGGGACGCTGTGTTATAGCCTCGCGAGGCTGAGATTGTTATTTCTTAGATCCTCAGACCTCGGACTTCACAGGAGGCTTTGAGAGCGAGTCTATTATTGGGACTGATGAAGAAAGCCTTGAAATCAGCATTGACGATGGAATTTAGCTAATATATTATATATATGTATTCTTTTTGGAGCGGGTTAAATCAGAGAGAATGTTTTTGAATTGAAATAAAATGATCGAGCTTCATGAATTTATCTCGGCAATACGAGGCGAGTAAGGTCTTCGGGGTTTGTGTATATGTGCGGCGTCAAACACTTCGGGCATCTTCGATTGGCCTCTGCCTTCGGCCTTCTGTTTACATTACCGAGAGATTGGTATGGGGAGAAGATACACGTATGGAAGAGTGAATGCAGTCGTGATGTTGCTTCAACAGTTAGGTGCAGGAAGCTGTGCGATAGACATCTAAAGCATGGATTCGCAGTGCACAGCTGTCTAACTAATTGGCTACTGAATTACTAGACGACACGAAGCAATGTTCAAACTGTATCACCTACCCCGTGTAATACCATTCACTCCATAAAACACGTAAACTTTCGTGCCTTTTTGTGCAGTTGCAATTTTTCTTTTCTTTATTTTTTTTTTTTCAGGCTCGGTCTGTCCCCAGGGGATGACATAAGCTCTGGATTCGTTGTCTTTTATGGCTGTGGAGGGGGTGTTTTGAGCGTGATCTACTGCAGTATGGCGATAACAATGCCACTAAAAGGCTTAACGAGCATCTTCGCAAAGGGCACGAATCACGGGGGAGGGGGTTAAACAGGACGTGGCTTATCTTGTCACGAAAAATCTGCCCGAGGCTCTCTCGGTGCTGACTCGCATTTATCTTTGGTACGGAGTTTATTTTTTGTTAATTTGGGTTAGTGGGGGCGAGATTGTTGGGGTTTAGTGCACGTCGAGCAGGGTTGGGCACACAAAATCGATCATTTTCGAAGATAAGGTCGTGTGCTAATGAAAAAATAAAAAAAATTCAAAATTTATGGAAGAGATTGCTTTTGCGTGTGGATAAACAGTGGGGGAGCCATGCCGAAATCGATCAATCGAGAGGAAAAATATCGATTGTTTTACGGAAAACATTGATTGTTAAAAATTAATTAACAAAATCATGACTATTCTGTAGAATGTATTTATTGCGAGCGCAAAATGAATTTTTTTATATCATAAATTCGAATGCGACGGAAATTTATTTTTCGGCTTTATTTTAGAATTCAATTCCTCACCGGACGAAACAATGAATTATTTAAAACTGAAAGATACGGGAGAAAAGAAATTGAGGAGACGTGGGACTATATCGTGATTCTACTTTATTTCATTACATTACAATTTCATTCGATGATGTTAGAGTAGGTGAGATGTAGTCGCCATGAGAAACATAAAAATTTTATTTGTCCCATTAATCTCTCTCCAATTAATCGAGAAATATGTTGGCTATAACGAGCAAAGCAGTAACTGAAATCCGGCTCTCGAACTTGTCTCGCACTTAATCATAATATTCGATTGGTTGCCCCGTCTGGTATTGTTTAACAAACGTACTTGCAATTCCAACGAAAGTCAAATGCACCGGTGTATATTGCCTGGAGATATGAATTGGAATTGGCAGTGGATGCCATGTACGGGTTTAATAACACCCTGGCTCGGGTTGTCTCCTTCGAGTGGCAATTAGTTGAACGACGTCTCCATCGTGTGTTGGATGTATAAATCCAAGCAACTACTATCCAATGCGCATTTACTTCATCAAGAGATGATTAAGCCTCAACACGACGCGTTTACTCAACTAATGCGAGAACTCCTCTGGAATTATCCAAATACAAACTTGCACTAACGACGTATTTCATTTTCCACCTGTCACTCAGAATGACAGAATTTTTATATTCCCGTAATTAGTGTATTCGATAGGATAATGAAGGCAAATGTTAATTAAATTTGAATAATAAACGTTGAATTTATACCTGAGGAATTCCGTAATATTCCTTCTTATTCGTTTCTATCTCATTTTTCTCCGCATTTCAAGATGATTTATGCAGCTGATGATTAATTCCCTTTCAAGGAATTTATTCAACATCTGGGATGATTGTCTTCTATGCTTGAGAAATTTGACTTTTCAGGGCAGTTGGCATTGAATTATTACCGCATTGTATCTATCACACGCTTATTTCAGTTTCTCCTGGGCTATTTACGAGGGAGAAAAAAGAATACGGGTTTCAGTCACCCTATCGCTCTTCGAGTCGTTATATTATTCATCTGCCCGCATATATTTACGATTCGCTTCGTCAGAGAGTTGTATAAATCAGACGACGACAGCTAAAACGAGTCGAGTGACGCAGAGGGAATTTCATATGGTTGGTGGAACGATTTTCTTTCGTGAAAGGATAAGAGAATTTTTACATTTTTATGAATTTTAAATCATTTGACTTTTTTATTGACTATGTGTAACGTCTCGCGCTCCAGATGCCGTTGACGGTCCCTTCTTGCGATGTACAAACAAGTGAATTTTCAACAGCATTCTTCCGTAATAAAAACTTATTGCTTTCGTGTATAGATATAATGGTATGATCGATTGGCATGAAAAGAAAAATTCAGGAATAAATCGATAAAACCGTAGATTTAAGACCTTCCACACGGAGAAAAAACAGAGAAGTGACACTAGCCATGTTTGAGTCAGGCCCCGGTGGTGCGCGATGGCCGCCAGGCAGCGCTATGATGAGTTTCCCAACACCCAAAATCCTAGCCGTAATTTCCATGTTCTGAACATGGCAAAAACCTGATGATTGAGGTGAAAAATGTTTCCACCGACAGCTCGCGGCTGAGAAATGACATTAGCCATGAAAATGTGCACCACTGATGTGTCTTAACCACCTGTGCGTGAATTTTCCTCCCTGGAGAGTGATGTTATAAATCGAGGAGATAATGACGACATGTTTATACTCTTCATTTGTATGCTAGGCGAGGAGGCAGTGGGTTTGAGACAGGCCCCGGTGGGCCGACTGGTTATGTGGCACTGCGCGTTCATTCCAACACTGTATCTATCCATCTCTTTCCATCCACGTCGTCCATTGCCTCTTGCATTTTGCCACTGGCGTATTCACCACTTCCAACAACGTACAGGTCCGTTCACCATCGCATTTCAACCTGACTAAATTTATGTATTCCCGTGTACACTCGGAATTGGGTAAGCGTTGTACGCACGTGGAGGTACATCGACACTGAAGGGACGCCATTATGCGGGTCTGGTACGCCACTAGAGGATGATGGGGGAATTTTCTTAAAATAATGCCATTTAGAATCGAGACCCGTGGAGTCGATTATGTATCTGCGACGGACGTATTACCATTATGTACGACTTCCGTGACATAGACCAGCGCCAATGTTCAAGCATTCATCGTGTTCCATGCGGAACAATGATGGCAGCCAAACCGGGGGCCAATGTTTAACGACACTACGTGTTCGTTGTACAGCGATAAACGACGCCATGGGTATTTGAAATTTGATGGGTTTCGTGTGGGCATCAATCCTTTGTCTGATTGAATTGTATTATCATACGTGATGGAGAATTTGAAATTTAAATTTGGTGGGGTGGCTTTTTAAATCATTGACACATGCCGATGAACTCGGCGGGAATATTTCAGGAGGTAATCGTTCGTCCCTCGTTGAGTTCGTGAAACGTGGATTCACAGTTGACGTTTCATTTCAGAACTTCGTTGGTTTTAAACTTTAATGGGATTTTTAATATTCACGTTATACTGGAAATGCCATTTTCCTTGGATTTTCATGTCACAATTAAAGATCCATGAATAGTTAGTTCCATCTGCTAATGTGAAGCATGAAATTATTGAGTGGAATTATTATTGCAGGTGAAGTGCTGATTCTGAGATCTGGCGAGAGAAAGATATGTCACAATTTATAGTGGTATAATATGAATTTTCAAGATGTACATCGAGTGTTTCAATTTATTGGAAACTGGAGGTTCAACAGATATTAATTCGAAATTGTTCTGTACTGAAGTATTCATTTTTTTTTATAATCATATATTCAAATAAAACATGAATAGGTAAATCAAGTATTTAACAATTAGTCGATCGATAGACTGTCGATTGGGTTTTTCTTAAAAAATAAAAACTAAAAAATAAAAAATAAATAATTCCAAAAAAGTGGCTAATGACGAAAATTTATGACGTCTTTCCATAATTGAAAAAATGACTAAATTAAATTAAATTAATTCTAAGCTATGCGGCGAAAACGGTGAGCCTCTGAATTTATGCAGAAGGGCATTTAAAAAATCAGACTTTTAACAAAATGTTCCACCGTTGATTTTCTCGGAATATGCACGCCGATTATCCTTTAATAATATTCATCCAATATTCATTCCTCACGACGAACTCGTACAATTCTGATTTTTTAATAAAATTGCAGAATTATAGATATTAAAGACCCAACGAATCCACGAACACGATTACTAAATCAATAAGCTTCCCTCCTCAAGCCCTGTTGATGCAAATTACTACAGATCAATTCATGTACACGTGATCTCAAGAAAGCTTGTAATCAATTAATAATAAAATATTCATAACAGCACCATCTCTCCCCTCACCGTGCTTAATCCTCCGTTTGTCATAAATAATCATCAATTACACATAGTCTCAACCAGACTCGCTCCGAAACAAAACTAAACGGAAATAAATGAGAAAAAAGACATGAGAACCGGTCATATGAGAGCGTAAATTCCCATTGAAACGACGCCAGCCATTACACAAATTACATGCAGATCATTTTATTTACGGTAATAGTGTGTCGATTACACGACATTATGCTTATGCAGAATGTCAACGTAACGGCGTATATCCCCCGCACAAACTCGCCTATATTTTTCTTATCATATTTTTTTTTTCTCACGATAATTCAACCAACAACACCACTTACAACATACACACGTATCGCAAGGTAAGTATATCTGGACCTGGCAATACGTACGTCAAGTATATATTAACGTCCTAACGGCCGCAAATTGCCGACAATTACCGCTTTTACTCCTGGGATAAAACACGACTGAGACTCGTTGATCCACTTTGCCACATGCTGGAGTTATTAATTTCTCAAAAGTCAAGACGTAGATTGCAAACGATTATCTCTTCATGGTTACCTTCGCATGATTGAGAAAACTTGAGCATGAGGTTATGCTCGATGATAAAAAAATGAAAAAAAAAAAAAAATGCCGCTTTAGATCATTATCTTGATTGACAGGCTAAAAACACTCATGATGACTATAAATACTTACTCAGTGACAGACAGCAAGTGAAAAACAACATTTGATGCCGCGTCATTTGATTACAGCAATCTATTTCCCCTCTGGGCAGAAGGTTAAGGTAGCAAGAAGTTCTGGGATTGGCGGCATAAGTCCACATCAATCATTGCATCTGAAACATTAATGCGATAGTTAATCCCTCGCTGATAATATCATACAAGTTATTTCAATGTATCAATACTTGATATTCCTTTTAAACAACTTTAATTAAAGATAACGCGTGACATGCCGGCTTATCTGGCCTCAACAGCCATAATGATGTGACATTTTTTCCATTCGTTGATGAAATGAAGTATGAGATGAAGATGGAGGGAAAATCCAACTCAAATTTCTCGAGATATTTATGTTGTATTGTTGCCAACAATCACTTCATTTCTCAGGGATAAAAATGAGCCGCTGTCGTCGTCGGGCCATGATTACATGTCTTGCGAATTATTTGGAGTATCAGAACTTTTCTTGTGCTGAAGTTGAATGCTATCTGTCAAGTAGTCTAAGAGCTCTCAGGTTATCTCGAGATATCATAAAGTTGATTAATCGATGGAAACATTACGGGTTTTCTTAACGCGGCTAATTATTAATCTATAATTTGAGAAAGAAAGGAAATTTCATGGATTGTTGGCTTTAGTGAAATTTGAATTACGTGAATAGTCGTGGAATATTTTTTTATTAAAGACAAGTTGATGACGACAGACATCTCCGTCAATGTCTGGACGCTTAAGGTCTGCGGTGGAAAATTGATAAAGTTGTAATAATATCTCGTCGGAGCAATAAATAACGATAATAAGTCACTTGGGCTGTGATTTCTCCCCTATCTTTTTAATCGAAGCCTGCGTTTCAACTGATGGACCGCTCTCGAAGGCGTGACGAAGAGGCGTGACGGACGGAAGGGGCCCCTCGTTGATGCCAAGTCCAACAAGAGGTATATATAACAGTCATTTCACGGTGAACGAGAATGTGTTGTTACATGGCTACAAGTAAATTACTCTCTCCACCATTTCAAAGGCGGGAAACTTTGGGGTAATGGTACAATACTGGTGGGGAACACCGGGAGGCGGGGGGTGACTTTTGTACTCCATCGACTGGCGGGTGAATTGAGAGAAATTTATTTTCAAAGTAATCCATCAGCCATGGAGTATCGGAGAATGAAGCGAATAATATGATGTCTGGTACAACGGAAATCAATCTCTTTTGTCGTTGCGAATGAAAACTTTCCGACAGCTGAGATGAGTGCTTCAGGGGTGGAAATTTATATTCTCCACTGACAGATAAAAATTCGTTTATCTTCAGAATTTTTTTAAAATTAAATATCAATTGATTTTTTGTTTAATTTAATTTGAATTGATTGTCAGTACATATTATCTCTCTTTTTTGCTGTAGACGTGAATTTATGGGTTTTTTGGTTGTATCGTAATGAGAACTTTTGATTTATTTTACCCTGGTATTTTATCCGAAATAAAAAAAATTGTTTTGACGGAATTCAATTTATGAAACTTCATAAAAATTACTCCAAGCAAACATGTCAATAAAACCTTTTTTTTCTATTAGAGTGCTCTTAAAAAATTATGTGAGCGAATAATTTTGCAGAGAGAATAATATCTTGAAATGAGAGATGAAGCAATTGATTCTGCAAAAAGATTCCAATGATCAATGTTATTGGATTTCCATCTGTCAATTTTTTTCCCCAATGGCTGATAATTGTTCCCTATGATAAGGAAAAAAAATCAACCAGATTGCGCATCGGTTACAATTAATGTCTCATTTTTCTTCATTTCGAAATATCAAGAGTTTTGAGTTAATTGAGAAGAATCCATGGCAGTGCGTCGAGGCCTTAATGAATAGAATGATGTTTTTATCTGTTGGTGGGATTGATTAATCACTGATAAATAATTCATGTTGAGATTTTCTACGATCACCACGCGAATCAATAAAAATAAATTACACTTGAGAATGATAAGAGTGAGTATTTTATTGCTTTGTATCGAAGTTCATTGCGGCATTTTTACGATAGGAGGAAATTGAGTGGATGCGAAATGATCGGAGATGTTCTAGGGAAATACCAATCGGTAATCAAATTTTATCAGTGATTCATGATGGATAATTATCACTCCGAGAATGCCACATATAAAGTTTTAATGTTAAAAATCTAATTTTTCTTTTACGAAAAAATTAAAAGTTTAATTTTAATCTGTCATTTTAGGAGAAATGACGACTATCCTTTAGGTCTTGACTAGCACTCAGTCTTCTTCAGAGATCAGAAGAATGCAGAAAAAATTGAAGAAAATTCCAAACAAAATCTGCATTTAAATTCATTTATATTTCCCACAGTCTCATACACGGTTTCGACTGAAAATCCAAAAATGAAAAAGAATAGTTGAACAAAATAAAAAATTGAATGCCTTATGACACTATTCTCTTGACATGCTAACAATATGATAAATGTGAAAACTCGAGTGTCGTAAAGAGTCAGAATGACAATGAGAGTTAATTAAAGATCTCAATGGCAGACGTCTGGGGAGGAGGGTGGTGATTAGGCATGCTACGTTGAGGCGTGACTCTTGTATACGGGTGGCTGCATTGTATCCCCGTGTCCAACATAGAAAACTCAGCTGAAGGGACAAAACCCCTCTCAGACAACACAATGCAGGTGACAGCTCGCGGTGCGCGGACATAACCGTACCTTTTTGTTCGTTATATATTTTCCTTTCTCCGGTTGTCTACGCCTTTATCCATTATCAGATAATGGGTAGACAACTGTCTGTACTATATTTGGATCGATCGCAACCACATGTTCCTCGGCAAACCAATAAAACGAAAAATGAAGAATTTCGTTTTTAGTTTCTTTAACTTCCAACTAGTCTACACGGGGATTCTTCACAATTGCAATGTAACTGACATGTCTCCGTGGATTTTATAGCGTCATTTGCAGGGTGACTATATTTTAAGTCAATGAGGAAAATCGGTTTTGATGGAATCCGCGATGATAAAGTTTTGCAATCGTTGAAGTGGACATTTTGGATTTTTTGTTACGTCGACCCATTAGGATCTTAACAGCTGAGAAATTGGTGACTTCATTTTCAACCTTCGAAATGATTATTTAATCCAAGAAAAAATTAATTTTTGTTATCGGAAATTGAAATTTGCAGAAGAATTTTGATTATTTTATTTGAAGAATTCTAAAAAATGGTGCATATGCCGAAAGCTTTTTACTGAAAGCCTTTACGATCTGCTATTGCTCAGTGCATAATTGCCTGAAATGACCAAAAGTGCCCCTGGCACTTGTCATTCGTCTTTCAGTCTTTCACTAGCAGATCAATGCGTACCTTGATGTTATGGTTTCCCTGAAAGACAAGAACGATCGGCGAAGCTCAGACAGCGGCAAGTAGTCTCACGGATGTCGTTTGCAATCGAGTCAACGAGATGCAAGATCCTTATCAAAAACCGCACGTGAAAGGCCAATAATTCAGATCGGTATCCCCTTTGAGTACGATAAACCCAACGATAAAACAGAATTTTAGTCTATATTGGTGATATTTATTTTTCTCCCTGTTGGCATTCCGATGTACAATAGGTGTTCATTATCGCGGGTGAAACCGCCACTTGCATCAATTGTCTTGCCCCTCCAGTAATGAATTCATATTCGTTGTTTGTAAGACGACAAACAATAGGTTGGGTGCTTGTGATGTTGAGTGCACATTTT